TGATGAGCTGAATATAAAATATAGGAGAAAATGTATATTTGCTGGATTTTATTTTCACTAAATCATTCCTTCAGCAAAAATAATTTTACAGTAATACACCAAGTCATTTTGAAAAATACATGGTGAGAAACACTCAGTATCATACAATAGTACTTCTACCTTCCATCATAGACCTTAGAAAAAAAGGTCCTTCTACTTTCTATGTAGCTTGACAAGTTGACGTAGGTGGTGCCCTGGACTGCGCCACCTATGCCACCTTGTCAGGCTACCTCCCATGGTACCACAATGCGAGTAAAAACAGTACCCCTAACCCTGTGGATTTAAGGTAGAGATGCAGGTTCGTGGGCACTTGGGAGTGAATTTTTTTTTTTTGCTTTTTATTATCCAAACAGTCTTGGCTATAGACTGTTAAAATTCGTGAAAATTTCAAAACAAAAGATCAAAGCGTCTAGGAGCTATTTTTTTTTTAAAGTTCTGGGATGTGCACTAAAAAAAAGCTGAGAAACAGAAGCATGGTTTAGAAGCTATTTTTTTGTAAATCACTTTTGACCAAAAAAGCACATTTTTGTGCATATTTCAAACTACAGTGTCCATTAAAAAAATACTAACAAAATTTTAAAATTCATACAATAAGCTTTCCGAAAATATATAGTTTTGTGGACAAGGGAGGTCATCTTGGTTTCTTAAGTAACTAATTAAAATACCTGTCAGGTAAACTGCATCTCTACCTTAAGTAACTAGAGAAAAAATCTAGACTAGTGTCTGATATCAAACATTTTCATTTTTGGTACTCTGAGGGCGCACTCCTCCAAAATGTGGTGACCATTCTATTGAGGGTGATTTGTAAATCAAATAGAGAAACATCTTTTTATTTCAATCCTGCACTCTGTTTGAAGTTATAATTATAATTATATCTTATAGACTCTAATACTGTAACTGTTATAACTTACTTTTTTTTCTAACAATACATCCACTTCTACAAAATAATTAATTTTTCATGGTCTGAATAATGGAATGATTAGATTTTTTTTAATTACGTGAAAAAAAAAATAATAATGTATGGTGTTGCTACTCAGAGTTTAAGGGTCTCACTGGAATTTACTAACAAAAAAACTATCTTCATCTTATTTCAGAATCCTCCACATCAAATGAGGTAATGGCGAAGAGAATCCATGTGTCTAGTCCATATAATAATCTAGAGCAGAGGGCACCAGAGATGCATGCTGAAGTGGTACAAAGAGCATCCACTTCACATAACCCAAATCAGACGACACCAATGTTACATAATGAATCAATAATAAGAGATAAACATGATATTAGTGTTTGTGGTGAACCACCGACACATACCCGTCATCGACGTAAACGATCACAGCAACGTGTGAAGATTAATATACAAGTCGGTAGCGATGATAATGTTCAGAGTTATACTAGCGATAGTGATGAACCTCAGACACGTACCAGTCGGCAGCGTAAACAGGCACGGCGTCGTGTAAACATTAGGCTACACATCGGAAAGAACAGTGTGGAAATTCTTGGTGATGCAAGTGATAGTGATGATCACAATTCACAGACTCGTGGGCGACGAAAGCGCTCACGAATGCATCACAAGAATGATTCTCGTCATGATAGGAGAATGAGCAACGAAGGTGACAATGACAGTTACAGCATTCAAGAGAATGCGCAGCATCAGGATGACGATATTGAAGTGAAAGGCGAGAGAAATCAGGGTGGCAAAGACAGTAATATAGTTATTCAAGATGAGGATACTATCACTAATGTGCAGTACTATAGTGCTGACCCAATTGAAGATGGAGAGGATGGTAACATTGCGTTTAGACCACACTATCAGGGTGATGATATTACGAGTAAAGTGAGACGTGAGAGGAATCGGGGTAACAATTACCAAGGCAAAGACGGCATAAATGACATCGGTGGTGATGTGAATGATGCTAACAAGCCAAGTTGTAGCACTGACTCTAAAAATAGTGTCGTTATGTTTGCACCTCGTGAGTATATCAGTGACTTTGAGTGTACATCGAGTGACAATGACACAGGTGATGATGATGACGACGATGATGATGAAAGCTGGTGTAGGCCAACTCGTCTTGATTTACAAGAAAAGATAGAAACTACCTGGCCGAAAGACTCGCAATATATTGAACCTTCATGTTTCCATGACGATGATGTTGAATATGGTGGTGATGATGATGATGATGGCTGGTCAACTTCACTGAGAAGGCACACCCTAGAAGAGTTCACTGGTGGAAGTCCTGGTGCACATGTAGACTTGGGTGAAACACCTACCCCCGTGAGTACATTTCATCAAATTTTCCCAGCATCACTCATAAAGACACTGAGAAAGGAAACTAACGCCTATGCAAGTTTTATCAGCCACAAAAAAAGGAAAGGAGCTGACAAGTTCTGGACTCCAGTGACAAACGAGGAGATGACAGCATTCCTTGGCATTTTGGTTATAATGGGCGCTGATCCTAAAAGTGATCTGGCTGACTACTGGTCTGTTGATACAGCGCTAAGAAATGAGAAGATAGCTAATGTAATGAGCCGCAACAGATTTCAAAAAATTCGGCAGTACTTTCATGCGAATGACCCAAGCACAGATCCGGCTAACATCCAGAATCCTATGGAGAGAGCCAGACAGAGAACAAACCATCCTATGTACAAAATAGCTCCTGTTCTCGAGACCGTAATGTACCGATCACAAAAGTACTACAATCTTCATCAGCAGCTTACTATAGATGAGGCCATAGTTGGGTACAAGGCAAGCAGAAATGGAATCCCAACAGACTTCATACACAGGAAATTCAAAGAAAAGGGATACAAGGTACATGTGTTGGTCGATAGCAAAACAAATTATGTGGGGAATGTGAAGTTCCCAACTTCCACTGGGAGCCGCAGGGGAAGTGCACACAACATCTCCAAAAGCATGGCTATCTGTGATGATTTGATCCAACCAATCAGTGGCCGACATCACATTGTGTATACACAGCGTTCAAACACCAGCATTGAGATGGCCGATTGGCTTCATGAACATCACCAAACTTACATAGTTGGAAGTATACGACAAGACCGCAAGAAATTTCCCGACAGTCTTCGCACCGATCCACAAAATAGAAACCATGAAAGTGACATCGTTAAGAACCTTCATAGAGGGCAGTATTGTGCAAGACAAAAAGGTGACCTGGTTGCTGTGACGTACAAAGACTACAAGGTCCTCAGCCTGATATCTAACTGTCGAGCCGGATTTAACAATAACAACGAAAGAATAAGTAGACTAGTTAAGCCAATTCAGTCTCGTCGAAAGATCGCATATAGCCTTCCAGCTCCTGAAATTGTTGCTGACTACAACAGACACATGATTGATCGTGCAAGTCAAACACGATCATACTTGTATTTCCCGTCCCAACGTCAGTCCCACAAATGGTGGATGTTCGTCTTCTTCTATTTATTGGACGTCGCGATGTGGAACAGCTGGATAATATACAAAGAATTGGTGGATGACAAAAAGAGCCATAAATTGTTTCAAGTGGAAATTGGTTGCGCTCTGATTGGTGGCTTTTCCTCTCGACGACAACAGCTGACAACTAAAGCGCCAATCCTCACCACTTTCGAAAATCATCACTTAGTGAAGGTTCAAGGGTGCCGAGGAAACAGCTGCCGAATGTGCATAAAAGTAGGAAGGAGAACAGCAAAGGACAATTATATATCCAGCCAATACAAGTGCAATGAATGCGGTATTAATTTGTGCCGCGACTGTTTTTTACCCTACCACCAACTTGCTTGCAGCCAGCCAAAAGACGGCAAAAGCACACAGACCGATGCCGATGATCAAGACTTGGCAGGGAGACTGTGGGAGGTTAACTGGAATGGTCCAATTTTCACTGCTGTAAAGGAAGAGCCATCAGGGGAAATTTGACAAAACTTTGCCAAGAATGTTCAAAACTGAACAAAGCAATAAAGTGTCAATGATTCAAGTTTGTACACAGGATGACTATAACTATGTTCACACATGCTGACAAACCGATAGCTACATTTAGATCGGGTTGAGGTTAATATGTTCACACATGTTTACCAACGGTGCATTAAAATTACTCTGGGTTGAACCCCACATTTTGTAACATTTGTTGAATATCATTACACATAGGTTACTCAACTAAACATGTTAATCTTAACTGTGTATAAAAATACTTCATTTCAAAGAAGACAATAGTGTATATGTAAGATGTTTATGAACAGAATAAACAGAGCCGATAACATTTATACAAATACATTGTAACCTTGTTTTAATAAACACCTTTATAGTGAATTTCCTAAACACATTGTATGTCTCTCACTCGTGACAAACCCAATGTATTATTTTTCATTACAGTGAACTACATGTACTTGTATGCCCCCCCCCCCCAAAAATACTGTAGAATACTTTATTTTCGCTTGGAATTAATTTTTGCTGAAGGAATGATTCAGTGCAAATAAAATCCAGCAAACATAATTTTTTTCCTATATTTTACATTAAACTTGTCAAAAATCAGTGAAAATAAATTCCATACAAAATACCCAAAAAGTCTTTTAAGCTAAAATAAAGTATTTTGCAGTAATGTAGAGCAAATAAAGTTTGTTTTAATTACGCAAACCAACATAAAGATAGTCACAGCGGCTTTAAAATGTTGACCCTACGAATGATATTAAATCTTACAGATGCCAAAATTCAATTCATTTGAACTCAATATACTGAGCTTACAGTGCTCTAGTTTGCCATTAAAATTACACTTCCCATGATGCATTGTCTCAATCTGTGGTTTAAGATGGAAAGGTAATTTTTCCTGTACAAATATCAACGATATGTCAAATGTATAAGTTGGCGTTCCATAAAAAAAAAATCCAACCTATATGTATATGAAGACCACCTGTATAGAGAAATACATGGAAATTTGTAACATTTTGGGAGGAAAAAAATCATAGTATTGACAGGGTTAAGTACTCACTTTAACAAAATTGTCTGGGAACATTCCTCGTTTACCGCGCAGTTCACCTTCCCACCATCCTCCATCCATTATTTTAATATTTGCTATTACTTCACCCACTTGAAGTGTTAGCTCATCCTCTGCATCAGCAGTGTAATCAAACTCTACAACTGCTTCCACTGAAAATAACAACAACAAGTCATTGAAAATGACACAATCCCCATTAAATTAAGTTCTCTTTGTGCTGGTCATATTAAAGCGGAGGGGTTGTCGTGAACGTGTCCTTGAAACTTGAGTTCCAAGTGGCGTATACAACAGATTGTTTATTTACATCAAAACAGGTGTTCCATGTAGTAGTAATATGGCCAAAAATAAAAACAGCTGCTATTCGGCCATCTTTGATCTGATTATGAAACACACTGATATGTATGATGTATGTGCCAAATATGAATGAAAACGGTACATAAATTGTGGAAATATAGTAGTAAGGCCAAAAAGTCAGATTGCTGTCAATCGACCATCCTTGACCAGACTTTGAAACAAATTTTCATGGACATGCATCCCAACATGTATAAAGTACATGTATGTGCCGAATTTGAATGAAAACTGACAGAGCACGTCCAAGATACTGCATAAAAAAACAAAACAAGATGCCAGCCAGTCAACCATCTTTGATCCAATCGCGAAATAAATCGTCATGGACATGTATCCTAACATGTATAATCTACATGTATGTAGCAAGTTTGAATGACAACTGACAAAGCATGTCCAAAATACAACATTTTCAAAAAACAAGATGCCAGCCAGTCGGTTATCTTTGATCCAGTTGCGAAAGAAATTGTCATGAACATGTATCCTAACATGTATAATCTATGTAGCAAGTTTGAATGACAACTGACAAAGCATGTCCAAAATACAACATTTTCAAAAAACAAGATGGCTGCCAGTCGGCCATTTTGAATCGATTTGCTAAACCACTGCATGTGCATATGTCCCACATAAGGTACTAGGCACATGCAAAGAATGAACAGAATCGGTCCACAAGATTCTGAAATATAACTCTGGACAGACTGACGCACACACAGATGGACGGACAGACTCAGGAACTCACAGACGGTCGGGGACATGTATCCTAACATGTATGATTTATGTACTAAATTTGAATGAAAACTGACAAAGCATGTTCAAAATACAACATTTTCAAAAAACAAGATGGCTGCCAGTCGGCCATCTTTGATCCAATTGTGAAATAAATCGTCATGGACATGTATCCTAACATGTATACCCTGGTAATCTATGTACCAAGTTTGAATGAAAACTGACAAAGCATGTCCAAAATACAACATTTTCAAAAAACAAGATGGCTGCCAGTCGGCCATTTTGAATCGAATTACTAAACCACTGCATGTGCATATGTCCCACATAAGGTACTAGACACATGCAAAGAATGAACGGAATCGGTCCACAGGATTCTGAAATATAACTCTGGACAGACTGACGCACACACGCACGGACAGACAGACAGATGGACGGACAGACTCAGGAACTCACAGACGGTCGGGGACATGTATCCTAACATGTATGATCTATGTACTAAATTTGAATGAAAACTGACAAAGCATGTTCAAAATACAACATTTTCAAAAAACAGGATGGCTGTCAGTCGGCCATTTTGAATCGAATCGCTAAACCACTGAATGTGCATATGTCCCACATAAAGTACAAGGCACATGCAAAGAATGAACGGAATCGGTCCAAGGGATTCTGAGATATGACTTCGCACGGACGGACGGAGACCGAATTATAAGTCCCCGTTTTCGGACTTCGTCCGAACAGGGACTAAAAACACTTAGTCATTAAAGTGGATTATTGCGCTGTGCATGTGCAACATTTATGCTTCATAAACATTGATTTTCCCACAATCCAATGCTCTCTTCTAATGGAAATCACAATATGAGGTTTAACCCGGGCTCAACTTGCACTGATAATAACAAATTTGTATCGAATATTTTATTGTTTTCACAATAATAAATTTATTTCCGAATAAACCAATTAAAGATTATTTTAAACACATTTACTCATCTGCTGTAGAAGTGTGTGCAGAATATACGGTTATAACCAAACAAAGGAATACCTATCATAAGCAGACGATAATTGTACCACGGATGACAAATCAATTCAAAATTGTGTCATATTGTAATATCTGTTTGTTTTGAGAAAAAGATGTCACATACATAAGCACGATTGAATAAATTTCGGTAATGAAAAAATGTGAAAATAGAGCATTGTAGACCAGGATGTGTTCACTGGTTGGTTTAGCATTAGATTATTTTTTTCTTGTTTACAACATTTTAGATAACAATGATTCCTCTGATACCTTCTAATCACACTAAAAAATACCTAATTAAAGCTTGGTAACGTCTCAGTTTGTACTTGTTGATATGCGCAACAGCGAAAGTGGCCATCGTTGTTCATAAGAGACCCATATATCTCACGCAAGGCAACGACTACCGCCATTCAACTATTGACATCAGGAAGGCTTGCAACAGCTAGAGCAAGTGCCAAATAAAGATTGATCAAATAAAAAAAACTCCCTGGCAGCAATGCAATAATACCAAGGAACACTGTCAGTGGTGCAAGTTTTGACTTTCTTTCAATACTTTCAATCCCAACAAGCCGGCATTCCTGAACACAACCATTTTCAGTTAATTGGGCACCCACTGAAAATGACATTCCTGTCAAGAAAAATTGCGAGCAATGAACATGTCACAAGAATCCTTGGAATGCTTCAGTTGACATGACACATTATTATCGATATGATATGCATATTTGTATTCACACATAATCTAAACATTGTTGTACATGTAATTAAAAGATTACGAGAATCACATTCAAGTGAATTTAATCAGATTTACTGCATAAACAAAATTATTTTATTTTGAACAAATAATTAAAAATGCTCAAAGAAGATAAAGGGACTTGTACTAACAATGCGGTACTGGGCCCTCGATTTCATATTCTAATCACAATTGACGAACTATTGATATAGGATCATGTACATAATGTATGACAAGTACTTTCAAATTACAATCAAAATGAGGCACAAACAGGGCAAAACAATCGTAAAAATGTACTGGGAGATAGAGGGCTTGTTTTGTAAAAAATTGCTATGAAGAAAAGACTTATTTCTACTGCACTTCAAAAAAAAAAGAAAATAGGCCAGTAACTGAATTATACAAACTATTATTAATTAATAATGGCAAATATTTTTGTCAATGATTTAAGGTAGAGATGCAGTTTACCTGACAGGTATTTTAATTTGTTAATTAGGAAACTAAGATGACCTCCCTTGTCCACAAAACTATATATTTTCGGAAAGCTTATTGGATGAATTTTAAAATTTTGTTAATATTTTTTTCTTATGGACACTGTAGTTTGAAATATGCACAAAAATGTGCTTTTTTGGTCAAAAGTGATTTAAAAAAAATTAGTTTTTAAACCATGCTTCTGTTTCCTGTCAAAATTGGTTTATGGGTACATCTGTTTGCTATGAAGAAAGTGCCGTATTGAAAACTGTCTACCAGTTGTCAATTTTGCAGGGCAGCAGCTCAAATTTCACTACTTCAAGTTTATGCATAAATTAACACCCAGGCTAGTTGTCTGTACGATTGTTGTAACACTGTTCAACCAAAAAAACAATGCCCGACAGCGTTTTGAAGATAAGCACATTGTCAATCATTTGTGAAAATTTCAAAACAAAAGGTCAAAGCGTCTAAGGAGCTATTTTTTTTTTAAAGTTCTAGGATGTGCACTAAAAAGAAGCTGAGATAATTGCTAATTTGCATAACAATTCACTCAGTAAGAAGTTTGCTAATGCTCATAATTAAAATGGCTGTGACAGTTCCAAATTTAAATGTATTATCGTTCTGTAAAAAGTTAAATATAGTGCATAATATGGAGATCCCGTCATTTCTTTTTTTTACCATGTTTCTTTTTTATTATTCATGTACAGCCTTGCTAAATCTTGCTAAGCATTCAAAAGAGAGAATGTTTGCACCTGTTTTCTATATTTTAAAATCGACTTTTGAGTATGTTCCACTATTCACAATTCTACAAAATTTTAACAGTCTCTGGGCTCTCTCTGGAATTTGCTAGGTAATAGTAAATTTACTAATCAAGAAAAAAAAGTATTAGTAAACTTTGTCTGGAAACTGTGGAGCATTT